CAATGGTGACGTTTGTCTCATATTGATGACGTAAAGGTCGGATAAACGCGACCTGAGCGTCACACTGCAGTCACATCAGATACATATCTGATTTATATCCACATACAGAAGAGGCCTGGGTCGGATCAGAACCAATCAGAACTGACCTGTTCACACTTAGATGAAAACATCAGATATGAGTCACAGATGGTTAAAACATCAGAATGACCTGCAGTCTGAACGTAGACTAAGTGGCGTTTAAGCTCGTTTGGCTCCAGGCTGTCACACACTGTGGTCTCTCTTCGTTACCCACCGCCGTATCGGGTGACGCCGAAGGCGAGAAATGAATCTTCATAATTTCTTGACTTCAGTTTTTTCTGTTGTAATGTCGTTGTCACCCTCACATTCTCCTGAAGGTCCGCTGATGTTCGCCATGGTTAGCAGTGAAACACAATGTACATTATTTTTATTTAGCCCCCCCCCCCTGTAATGATGCTGTGCCTCCACTGGGGGGCTCACTGTTCTCATGGACCGACAGTCTGAAGTGTGTTTGTCTAAGAGGTTGAATAGGGACTTCCAATGATCCGAACTGTGATGAGGACCAGGACTAAAGAGTCTCTGTCAGCTCCTGATGAGGTTCTGTGTTGGACGTCGCCCTCTGGTGGTGTCAGGGTGAACTGTAGCTCATTCTCCTGCGCTGGTTAAAGTGGATCTTTACCTTCAGTGACAGTTTGAGGAACCATGAGGAACCATGAGGAACCATGAGGAACCACGAGGAACCACGAAGAACCACAAAGAGCAGCGAACAGAGTTGTGTGATGAGTTTATTGACAAAACCAAAGAAATTGAAGGTTGTGAGTAAACACGTCTTTATGCAGGGTTCTACTTTAAAGTTTGTCTGCTTACAAATCAAAGTACCTTCTAATCGACGGTTAGAGCGGTTAGTGAAGGAGGAGGAGGAGGAGGAGAGTTTTTCATACAGACTGTACAGAGAGAGAAAAACAGGAGGCTGGATTTGTACATTATAAAAACAGGAAGTTAAAAGTAAATACATTTGGATTTTTCTTATAAACACGTCACCTGGTCCATTTCCCCTGAAAAGAAGATCACCTCTGCTCCACAGTACGGCTCTTTAAGTGGTTAGAAGGAACTCCTCAGACACGGCAGCCCTCGGGTTAAAGTGGGTCAGAAACTCAAAGTCTCATTTCACTGGGAGAGGTACTCTCAGAAGAACCAGTACCATCCAAAAGTTCCTCTTTAGTACCTCAACATTATCATTATCATTAATAATATTATTCCTGTTATCACAAGAAGGAGATCCGGACATCTTCACAGGAGAGACCAGCTGCTTTTAGATTTCAATTCACACAAAGACTAAAATTATTTACAAAGTACTAAAAACCTTTCAACAGGAACTCAGAGCGCTGGTGTAGAAAAATAAAACAAGAACCACATCATTCCAGGTTTTCAAGGAGCTCAGCTTCGCACACGTTTAAGAGGATTTTAGGGAAACTGAGACCGCCGAGCGCCGACGTACAGAGGGAGGAGAGCGTGACCTTTAACCTTTAACACCTTTTAAACAGACTCCTCCTCTTTTAAACTTTTTCAGCATCGCTCTAAAAAACCAAACTGACGGTAAAAATCGATGGAACAAGTGCCTCAGAGAGAATCAGCTAATACTATAGAGAGAGAGCAATGAGCAGTCTTTGACACGGAGGCGAAATCTGTCACCAAATACAGGGTAAAAAAAACAACAACATGATCGGACCATTTCCCTCTTTGTCTGTGTGTGTCTGTGTGTGTGTGTCTGTGTGTGTGTGTGTGTGTGTGTGTGCAGTGCAGCCTCAGTACTTTGGCACTTTAGTGTAATCCTCTGTGTGGATGTTTCTGCAGAGACACAGAGACAGGATCATCCCCAGCAGCTGCAAACACAAACACAAACACGGGTCAGACCTGCAGGACCTCATATGAAGATATTAAATATAATAATATTACATATAAATATTTATTTAGATTCATTCAAACATGTGATGGACACTTCTTCAGATCCCACAGACAGACTGGGTTTCAGTCAGGATTAAATGGCATTTGTGAAATAAGACGAGAGCGCCCCCTGTCATGAGTCCAGAGAAGGTTTTTACTGCCTTTGACATTTGTGTGCAACTCTTCAGATTAACGGACAATTCATGAGTGAGACTCAGAAACTGATATATATATATGTATGTGTATATGTATATATATGTATGTATATATGTATATTTATACACAAGTATTTAAAATATTTTATCCTTAGAAATATTTTTAAATTTTAATTTTTGGAAATATTTCTAATATTCTATATACAGTATTCTAATGTTTTAAGTTTTTCAAGGATGAAATATTTGAAATATTTAATCCTTTGAAATATTTTAAATATTTTAAATACTTCATCCTTGAAAATATTTTGATTGTTTTGAGTAATTTTAAGGATGAATGATTTTTTTTAGACTTCATTGTTGGAAATATTTTAAATATTCTATAAACAGTTTTTTATCCTTCAAAAATATTTATAATGTTTTAAGTATTTCCAAGAATGAAATATTGGAGATAAATAAATTATTGTAATTATTTCATCCTTGGAAATATTTAAAATATTTAAAATACTTAAAATACTTTATGCTCAGAAATATTTTAAATATTTTATCCCTTAAAAACAGACCCAGAGTGTTAATGAGGGAAAATGGAGCAGCACCTCGATGAAAGCGACTCCCAGACAGATCCCGAGGACGACCCCGATGTTTGTGAGGAGCCAGCTCTCCACGCTGTCGGCACAGCCCTAAACACACACACACACACACACACACACACACACACACACAGACAGAGTCAGGTTACCACGGCAGCAGCAGCAGAGTCACAGACAGGTGTAGTGGACGGGATGGTTACCGTGTCGTAAACGGGCCAGTCGGGGGTTTGAGCCTCACAGAAGCCGCTCTCAGAGAAGTTTCCGGAGGACAGCGAGACGTTCTGACAGGAACAAGGAAACAGGAGCTGCGAGCTGTTCGTGATGACCATGTTCCCGCTCCAGTCCATCCGCCCGCTCCACCCGCAGCACTCCATCTACAGGGGGGGAGGGACAGTACTGATGATGATGCTTGGTTGTGACGGTGAATTATCTGATCATTTAGGATCATTCAGTTTGTCTCTCTGAAGAGATCGGAGGCTGTGAGCCGCAGACAGAGACTCGTCCTCCTGGACCTCCTCCTGGACCTTTTTAAACCCACTCCTGTCCTCTAAGACCTGAGCTCAGCGCCGTACTCACGTTCCTCTGGATGAAGTCCCAGGCCTGCTCTGTGGTCGAGTTGTTTCCGGGGTAGTTATCCAGAACTTTGCTGACGATCTTGGACATCTCCTCGTTCACCTGACGGAACAAAAACAAAAACCGTTTCGTGTTAATGGAAAGTCTCACAGAGAGACAAAGACGTGTTTGTTTCTCTTTTTCACACTAACACATTTTCCTGCAGCTCGTTTATATCTCTAAATATCTATATCAATATCTATATCAATATCTATCTCAATCTATCTCTATATCTGCAGAAAAAAGGTGGTAAAGAGAGTGAACGACCACCAGAGGGCGCTGCAGCACCAGACTCTGCACTTCACTGACTGTTACTTTGTGTTTGTGTTATCACAATCCTGCTTGTCTGATGCTCATGCTCGCCGTCATGGCGGCGTGTTGTGACACGTCCTGGGTGTGTCCTGGACCAATCAGAGGACGAGGGTGTGTCATTAACAGGTATGCTGCAGATATTCACAACGTTTCACACCAGAGCAGCAACACCATGAACTCCCATCATGCTCCTGTGCTGCGTGCATGCTGCCAGGACAGGAAAAGGAAGTGACATCACTCACCACATCCTTCTGGAAGTAGATGAGAGCGCCTGCTGCAACCTGAGCGATGAGGATGAGGAGGAGGCAGGTGAAGTACTGAGGAAGGAGACGAGAGAGGAGAGGTCAGCACACCTGAGGAGGTCCTCACAGGAGTCACTTCTTCATAGACTAGAGGATGATTTTATTTATATGTGTTTATATTTTATAACACAATATTATCATATATGACTGTTCTTTAAATGTTTATATGTGATTGATCTACTCTTATGTCTGCAAACACACAGACTGTGCCTCACCAGACCCAGCAGACAGCGGATCTCGTAGATGGCGCCCACACAGCCGAGGAAGCCCATGAGCATGGAGAACGCTCCGACGCCAATCAGGATGTAGCACGCCACCTTCACCGCCATGGAGCTACCTGAGGAGGACCAAAGACCGAATAAAGATCAGCTCTGAGACGTTCACATCAGACCGCTGCTCCATTATTTTTACATTCAATTTTTCTTTTTCAATTTCAATCAAACGGTTTTTACAATAATGCTGCCGAAGAAGGACGGCACTAGAACGACAACAATGACAATAACAATAATGACAATATTAACAATAATGACAATAATGACAATAATAACAACAATAATAATAATAATAATAATAATAATAATGACAATAATAACAATAATAACAATAATAAAAATAACAATAATAATAATAATAATAATAATAATAATAATAAAAACAATAATAATAATAATAACAATAATGACAATAATAATAATAATGATAAAAACAATAATAATAATAATAACAATAATAATAACAATAACAATAACAATAACAATAACAATAATAATAACAATAATAATAAAAATAACAATAACAATAACAATAATGACAATAATAATAATAACAATAATAATAACAATAATAATAATAACAATAATGACAATAATAATAATAATAATAATAATACTAGTGAATAAACAGAGTCAGAATCATCATGTTTACAGTTAAAAACTCTGGAGCAGTTGTTCAGGTTATTTTCAGCAGCTCTTCTTCTTCTTCTCTTTTTTTTGATGCATGTATTCACTTATTTTCATGTCTTCACTTATTTTCATGTCTTCACTTATTTTTGTTATCTGTTTTTAAAGCTCTTTGTTCTCCTTATAGATGTCTCCTTCCGGTCTGTGAGTTGTTGGTGAAATCTGGTGTTATACATCTATATCTGTCTGTACCAGTAAATAACCTGCACCCTCTCTAACGTCCAGCAGGGGGCGTCTTCATTGGTTGAATGAGAAAGTATCAAATCTACTGTGCTCAGTGGCGCCTCCTATTGGGGCTGGGGGGGGGGGGGGGGGCAGCTGTGTGCAGACAGGAACAGCTGTTACAGCTGATGATCAGCTGACATGACACCGAAAAAAAAGAGGCTTCAGCGCTCTGTACACGTCTGGTGGGAGGGGCTAAAAGGTGAGGAAGAGACCCAAGTGAAGGAAGCAAGGATGCAACTCTAGGAAACTTAAATGTACCCTTAGTCTATGAGCCTGTTCCCCCGGTGTGTCAGTGTGTGTGTGCGTGTGTGTGTGTGTGAGTGTGTGTGTGTGTGTGTGTGTGTGTGAGTGTGTGTGTGTGTCCTGAATTGAAAACAGGTCTTCACTCGTGTTCATCCTGCTGTTCCTCCTCTCCTCCTTCTCTCTCCTCTCCTCCTCTCCTTCTCTCTCCTCCTCTCCTTCTCTCTTCTCTCCTCTTCTCTCCTCTCCTCCCCTCCCTCCTCCTCTCCTTCTCCCTCCTTCTCTCTCCTCTCCTTCTCTTCTCTCTCCTCCTCTCCTTCTCTCTCCTCTCCTCCTTCTCCCCTTCTCTCTCCTCTCCTCCCTCCTCCTCTCCCTCTCTCTCCTCTCCTTCTCTTCTCTTCTCTCCTCTCCTTCTCTCTCCTCTCCTCCATCCTCCTCTCCTTCTCTCTCCTTCTCTCTCCGCTCCTTCTCTTCTCTCCTCTCCTTCTCTCTCCTCTCCTCTCCTTCTCTCCTTCTCTCCTTCTCTCTCCTCTCCTCTCCTCTCCTTCTCTCTTGTCTCCTCTCCTTCTCTCCTTCTCTCTCTTCTCCTCTTCTCTCCTCTCCTTCTCTCTCCTCTCCTTCTCTCATTCTCTCTCCTCTCCTCTCCTTCTCTCTTGTCTCCTCTCCTTCTCTCCTTCTCTCTTCTCTCCTCTCCTTCTCTCCTTCTCTCTCTTCTCCTCTTCTCTCCTCTCCTTCTCTCTCCTCTCCTTCTCTCCTTCTCTCTCCTCTCCTCTGCTCTCCTCTCCTTCTCTCCTTCTCTCTCTCTCTTCTCTCCTCCTCTCTTCTCTCCTCTCCTCCTCTCCTCTCCTCTCCTTCTTTCTCCTCTCCTCTGCTCTCCTCTCCTTCTCTCCTTCTCTCCTCCTCTCCTCTCCTCTCCTTCTCTCTTGTCTCCTCTCCTTCTCTCCTTCTCTCCTCTCCTCTCCTTCTCTCCTTCTCTCTCTTCTCCTCTTCTCTCCTCTCCTTCTCTCTCCTCTCCTTCTCTCCTTCTCTCCCTCTCTCTCTCTCTCCTCTCCTCTCCTTCTCTCCTTCTCTCTCCTCTCCTCTCCTTCTCTCTCCTCTCCTTCTCTTCTCTCTCCTCCTCTCCTTCTCTCCTTCTCTCTCCTCTCTTCTCCTCTCCTTCTCTCCTTCTCTCTCCTCTCCTTCTCTCCTTCTCTCCTTCTCTTCTCTCCTCTCCTTCTCTCCTTCTCTCTCCTCTCCTCTCCTCTCCTTCTCTCCTTCTCTCCTTCTCTTCTCTCCTCTCCTTCTCTCCTCTCTCCTCCTGCAGAACTTCCTGGAGGCTGCAGACTCGAGTCTGGACCGGAACCATCTGAACTCCATAAACTCTAGGAAAGTGAAACCAGACTCAGTAGACCTGCAGAGACCAGGAGCAAGCTTTGGTCTGCAGGGTCAGTCTGATCCGGTCTGTGAGTGATCCGGGTCCAACAGATCCCGTTAACCCGGGTCAGAGCCCGTCTGAGGAGGGACTGGGATCAGGTTTCATCTGACTGCAGAACTGAACCACGTCAGTCGATCCAAGTCTGCTAACGCTCTGCACCACCGACCCGCTTTCCTCACACAGGCCTCGCCGCCCCAAGGCATCATGGGAAACCCTCAGGGGAGCAGTAAACCAAACCAGGACAACCAGATCCAAACAAAAACCCAGAAAACTGGGAGAGAGGAAAAACCTGGACCTGGGTCAGTCCATCGCTTTAAAACGTGTGTGTGTGTGTGTGTGTATAGACATACATATGAATACACACACACACACACACACATATATATATGAAGTAGGGCTGGGTGATAAGGTTAAAAGTTTATCAGGATATATTATTGTTTTCCTATCAGCTGATATGGATCAATATCAGGATCTAAAAATCTAACAGTGTTTCTTGGTCTCATGTCTTTTCAATAATCTCCTGCATCTGTGAGGTCTTTGTGTCTCTTTGGCGTTTTGTCGTAAGGCGTCGCTCTACAGAAAGACGACTGAATGGTCGTCTGTTTCGGGCGCCATGGGCTCCTCGCTCCTCTCGGGGTTTGTAACCTTTGGCGTTGCGCGTGCTCTGCGGCGTGGCGCTGCTTCAGGTGGTGAAAAAGATTTGAGGTATTCCCCGACTTTGTGAGAACATGTACTCGACATAATTTACAGTCCACATTACTCTGCTTCATGTCCGACCTCCAAAAACCAAAATACCTCCACACCACCGACGTTTTCCTAACGCCAGTGTTGTGGTTGACATTGATGTGGTCATCTGTTGAGCCTTCATGGTCATTTCTGTCGGGGGTAGCACTCATTTTCTTTGTTTCTCACCAACAGTGCTGTCGGCTTCACCTGTTAAAGTGCTATGGTTGGGTGGAGCTGCTGTCTGCTACGACGCTGCAGTTGGTTGATACTTGGTTCTAATTCAGAACATGATTGGTTCAGACCCGGAGACACTCCCCTTTTCATTGGCTGTTCGTATAGTCGACCAAAACATGTCAGAATGACGACTATTGAAAAGCATATTGATCATGTTTTATATTGATATTGAGGGAAATTAATTTTGTATTTAAATCGTTACGGTTTTATCGCCCAGCCCTAATATGTTTTTATAAACAGGTAAATCTACATAATAAAGATAAAGAGCTCCAGTTCAAGTGTCCTTCACAGATCAGGTCTTCTTCTGAATCTCTGATCTAACCCTGGAGCAGACAGGAGCTGCTCTCTGACTCAGTACAGTCCAGATACAGCAGCTGATTTCACCCCTCACACACACACACACACACACACACACACACACACACACACACACACACACACACACTCTCCCCGTCTGGATCATGGTCACGCAGCATCAATACGTCTCCTTTATGGACAGACACAAAGATAATCTGTCCGACGTTAGCTTAACCCGCCACAGAGCGCCGTTACTGCTGTATGACGCACCCCTGACATCCGAGAGAGAGAGAGAGAGAGAGAGAGAGAGAGAGAGAGAGAGAGAGAGAGTGTGTGTGGTTGTGAGTAAGGCAGTGAGCGCACTGGGCTGATGTGACGCATGTTGATCTGGACGGAGCAGAAAGAGCTCAGTGTGTGAGAGAGAGGACACCTGCAGGGAGGGACAAACAACAACGACGACGTCCTCACTGAGACACACACACACACACACACACACACACACACACACACACACACACACACACACACACACACACACTGAGCTGCTGTAATCAGACACAGTCAGAGAGTGTGTCACTCGTCTCTCTTTATCCTCGCCTCATAAACTCGGACTGTCACTGATTCAGAGAGAAAACTTCAGTCCTGATCCTCAACAACACACTGATGTCACCAGAGTCCTGGTTCTGATTCTAGTCCAGGTTCTCAGCAGGACTCTTCTCCTCCAGAACCATGATGTTGTCAGAATGAGGATGAAGCATCTATGATTTCCACTTCTTTGTGGAAAGGACAGCTGGACTTCGTTGAGGCGTTTCGGTGAAACATGCGTAGATTCCAACTCCAGAGTCCTGTTTGTTTTTAACACCCTGACCATCCAGTCCTGGTTCTGGTCTTTTGCCCCCTTTAGTCCAGAGGTTTCTCCAGATCCACTAAATCTTTAATGATTTGATGTTCAGTAGACGATGAAATCCACTTTATTCTGAAACTGTTGAGCTGTTCGCTCACACAGTCTCTCACAGAGTCCTGAACCTCTTCTGGGTTCATGTGGACTCTCCTCAGGACCACAGCCCGTCTGAAAGTCCTCCTCCTCCTCTTCTTCAGGTCAGTGATCCAGGACTCGACAGTGTGACCGTTTCACATTCACCACTTAAAACAGACGTGTGTGAACTGTCAAATAAATTTAGGGTCACATGACAGACCCAGGTTGGATATATTTTCCTGTAAATACGGCGGTGAAGTTAGTTTCAGGTTGGATATATTTCCCTGTAAATACGGCGGTGAAGTTAGTTTGAGGTTGGATATATTTTCCTGTAAATACGGCGGTGAAGTTAGTTTCAGGTTGGATATATTTTCCTGTAAATACGGCGGTGAAGTTAGTTTCAGGTTGGATATATTTTCCTGTAAATACGGCGGTGAAGTTAGTTTCAGGTTGGATATATTTTCCTGTAAATACGGCGGTGAAGTTAGTTTTAGGTTGGATATATTTTCCTGTAAATACGGCGGTGAAGTTAGTTTCAGGTTGGATATATTTTCCTGTAAATACGGCGGTGAAGTTAGTTTTAGGTTGGATATATTTTCCTGTAAATACGGCGGTGAAGTTAGTTTCAGGTTGGATATATTTTCCTGTAAATACGGCGGTGAAGTTAGTTTCAGGTTGGATATATTTTCCTGTAAATACGGCGGTGAAGTTAGTTTCAGGTTGGATATATTTTCCTGTAAATACGGCGGTGAAGTTAGTTTTAGGTTGGATATCTGTCGGACATTCTCTGAGGATCTACCGGTGTCTTCTCACTCTCCATAACCGGGAATAACAACAGCAGCGCGGTTAAATCTACTCGACACCCTCACTGTCAACGTCAGTGTTGAATAAGGGACCGTCAATAAATTACCGGTTGATGTTCTCAGAAAAGGCTGTTTTCCTTCAATAGCTTCACTGTCATGTGACCAAAAGACCTCAAATTGATTTCTAATAATAGTACTAAGGTCGATCAATAAGACAAACATTATTGATCAGTTTTCATTGATCCCCTAAAGTTCTTTGTGCTCCTAACTTTTTTAACTCAGGAGAACATGTGAACAAAGTTAGAGTCTGACCCTGAGACAGTAAACAGAGAGCAGGAAGTCTGTAAACGGAAACTGAGCAGACTAAAACTGACAGGAAGTACAGACGGTAACCCCGTATTTAAAGCAGCAGCTGTCGCCATGGTGACGGGATAAAGATAGAGCGTCTAACCCGAACTGTACAAACTGATAAAAACCCGTTTACTCTGCATGAAGTCAGATCCTGGAGGAGACCAGGTCCATCCGTGGACATCATCATCATCTTCATCATCATCAGCAGCAGCAGGTCCAGGTGTTCCTGTCGCCTCTGATAGAAGAGCTTCACAACATCATGACTCAGAGTCTGACCCCCGACCTCCACCTTCATCCTGATCGTCTCCTAAAAGGTCGTATCCTCCGATCGTAGCTGATCGTAACCATTCAAGTTAACGTGTCAATTTACACCGACTTCTTTCCGTTCCTCTGCGGATCGCCGGACTCCTCAGCTGATCACAAGAGTTCTATTTTTTCTGGACGCCGGAGCATGGCGGATAAATTCAGCACAGATTAACCCGTGCTGGAAAGGAAGTCGGGCACAGACTTCAAAATAAAACATCCGGCTTCTTTTCAAAATAAAACACTCCGTGTTTCAGGAGGATCGTATTTCACACCATGCAAACGGGCGGAGACTAACAAGTGAAAGGTTTTTAGACGTCATTTCACCCCGATGACACCATGGATGAGGAGATGCTGATTCTAGAAGTCTAGAAGTAGATTTCCTCCTCTGGAAGGACACAATCTACTGCTTATATGTCTATGTGTCTGTCTTTAGAGAGACAACTCGTTATCGTGTGATTGACGTGAATCTGCAGGTTCTTGTGAGTTCTCGTGATTCTACTGTCCAAAATCCGCCATGAAACTCGCCTCACAAACAGATCTGGTAGGAATTGGCGGACGGCGAAAATCGCCGGCAGAACAAACAGGCGTCTGCTCCTCCTTTGCTCTGATTGGCTGTCTCAGTGAAGGAGGAGCAGATCTTCTTCTGTGAAGACCTTACATCACCCCTGAAGACCGCCGAGTCCACGAGCTCCAACAAATCAGACCCAGCAGGACCGAGTGGCCGACACATGGTCGAGGAAAACAAAAACCTCGTTAAAGAAGAAAAAACATGTCCGACCTCAAAACCTGGAACATCTGGAGATGTTCAGTGTGGCACCGTCAGCTGATCTTCACACACACAAACCTGGAGACCTGGTTTCAGTCTCATCTGTCAGAGAAGAAGCTTTTCTTTGACCCCTAAACACCTGGAGGAACCTCTGCACCCCCCCTCCCCCATAAGAAAGAACCGGGTCCGAAAGGAAAGACCATGAAACCCCGAGACCCCGAGACCCCGAGACCCCGAGGTCTGATGAGGAGAAGGACTTACTCAGGACCACGATGAAGCTCTGATTGTCCAGGAGGAGCCAGAGTCCAAAGCCCATGATGAGACCCCCGCACAGCTGGAAGAGAGAGACACACACACACACACACACACACACACGCACACACACACGCACACACACACACACACAGGTTAGACACTGTAAAGGTGTGTGTTTAAAGTCCAGTGAAGACCTGCAGAACCTCCTGTGTCCACCAGGGGCTGCCCCCCAAAGTGAGCGTACTCTCATAGAGTTTCATGTTAACAAAGAAGTGAGTCAGAGTCCGATCTTCAGGATCAGGTTCTCCTCCAGACCAGTCCATCTAGGATCTTCATGACTTCACTGTCAGGTTAACAAACGCGTCACATCGACCCTCACAGACCTGGACTCTGATAAAACGGACCTCATGCTGTCTCTGCAAGCATCTCTAGGGACTAGGGAGCGAGTGAAGGTCACGAGTGGAGGATACAAGTGTGAAACTTCAGGCCCTGAACTCCACCTCTGGGTGGTGTTGGTGGTTTTGGTGGACCCTGAACAGGTCTGAGAGTCTGTGACTAAACTTAGAAATGAGGTTTCATCTGTGTGTGTGTGTGTGTGTGTGTGTGTGTGCGCGTGTGTGTGTGTGTGTGTGGTTTCCTCTTCACTCAGTTCATCATCATTTCTACAAACATGAGAGACCATCTTCACTTCTACAGTTTTCAAACTTTTTCTTAGTTTTTAAAATCTTTGTGTTTTTTTTTTTTTAACTTTTTTCAGTTTTACTTTTTTTTGTCTTTTTAATTTTTTTCTGATTAATTTTTTTTTCAGTTTTTAATTTTTCCTAATTTATATTATTTTCTGTTTTTAATTTCTTCTGGCTTTTTAATTTTTTTCCGTCTTTTTTAAGAAAATTCTCTTACATTTTTTTTTGTGTTTTTCATTTTTTGTGTTTTTAATTTTTTTCTGTTTAATTTTTTTCTGATTCTTTTCCATAAATATTCTCATCGCCTTGATTTTAAAAGTTCATGAGCCAAAAAAAGAAAAAATACTCCAGTTTTCCTCGAGGGGTGGTGGTGTCGGGTGGGGGTGGGGGTGTCGGGTGGGGGTGGTGGTGTTGTGTCGTACCACCATGTTGAGGAGGTCACTCCAACTCTTCATCTGTAATTTAGACTCACAGAAGGACTGAGGGTCTTAATGGAGGGTTAGAAATCAGGGATTAGACTAAGACCTGCTGTCAGCTCTGATCCTGCTCTGATCCTGCTCTATCAGCAGAGATCTGTCTCACACACACACACACACACACACACACACACACACACACATTAGCCTTTAACCTGCTATCATGAACCTCGTTTTAATCTCATTTACAGGATTGGAGTTTTGATCGGTCAGCTGGAGAGGAAAGAGATTTTAAACCAATTAACGGGAATATTAATGATGATGTCATTGTTTTAAAGTCTGAAAATAAAAAGATGGGATGTTTGATTTCTTCAGTTTCTGGACTGAGGCCTCCATCCTTCACAATAAAAGCCCTGAGCTCATAAACGGACATGTGTCAGTGGAGCGGTGAAAGGGTGAATGTGCGTGTGTGAAGGTTTATACTCACAAAGAAGATGAGGTTGAAGAGGAACAGGAAGTACTTGGTGGCGGTCAGGCAGCCTTTCCCCATGATGCCGATCTGTGAACGTCAAACAGACTGGTGTTAATATTCAGGAGCAGGTCCACGGACTCTTCCTGGACCAGGACTCTGAGCGCTGACCGATGCTGCAGACCTCAGAGGATAAGCCGGTCTGCTGGATCATGATCCGAGCCGAGGAGGGGGTTCAAATCCTGGGAGATTAGACCACAGACCACAGAAGACCACAGACTCCATCAGTGAGCACAGACCGTCCTGCTCAGATCATGTGACTCTAATAACGACCCAGAACCCCCGTCAGACCGTGAGTCCATGAGTCCGCTACTGACCCCAAAGCTCCTGTGAGGAACTGCTGATCTGGGTTGATTCTGGCGCCCCCTCTGGAGAAAGCAGTCTCCTGGAGAGACGATCATTTCCTGATGTCTCCGTCACGCTCGGACGAGGTCGACAAGTTCAGGGAACTTTTCAAAGTTAGAAACTTTTCATGAGAATTAATGTGAATAAATCTGAACAAAGCTGAAGGTCGGTCCTCCACAGGAACCCCCTACATGACCTGGTCGTTCCTCCATCACGTGCACAGATGATCTCTCGAACCCTGGAGGTCACACTGAGTCCACCGACTACAGAGAGTCAAGTTCTGATCATATTCTGGGGTCAATAGATTTGATCTAAAATAGTTTTAATATTTAAATAAAAATCGGTGTTAAATATTAATTTTCATCTCATCGACTGTTTAAGGGTGGAGTTTATCATGGCGGTGGTCGTTTCCTCAGATGTGATCCTGTTTCTCCTGACAGACGGTTTTCTGTAACTAAAACAATCATTAAGACGTTAATTATCAAATATTTTAAAAACGTTCAGCTGTTTATCGACTATATTTCTGTTCATGTTGTTGTTCATCCGTGTTTTTAGAAGATTTTTTCTTGTTTTATTCCACAGAGAACGTTCACCGTCTGATGTGTGGAAGAATTTCACACAAACTAAAATATTGACATCGATGTTTGGAGACGATTCACTTTGTTCAAATTACCAAAGTTTTCCGTTAATTCACAGAATTCCTGTGAAAAGTTCCAGATTTGGTTCACCGTATTTTTCGCTCTATAAGGCGCAGCGTCAACGAACGCGTCTATTTTCATACATGAAGGCGCACGGATTATAAAGCGCATTAATCCAAACAAACAGTCAGACTTTATTAACTCAGTGACTCGGTGAGGCTCCGCCCACCGCAGCGCTCCGACCGGCTGAGAGGATTTTAAAATACGGTCAAGTTTCTGGAAATTCATCGGGAAGTTTCGCCCGTTTGCGACCCCAGACCTGGACCTGATGAAGAATCTTTAATGTGGATTTCAGTTGGAGGTTTGAGTCCATGTGAGTCTGATCCTGATCCTGCAGAGTTCACTTTGACGTCTTCGTAAATATTCAACATTATAATCCAGGAACTTTGTAATCCCACAGATTTTAGCCCAGACAGACTTCACTGACCACAGATCTATGAACAGCTGAGCTCCAGGAGGAGAGCTGAAGACCACTGAAGACCACCGAAGACCACTGAAGACCACCGAAGACCACCGAAGACCACTGAAGACCACCGAAGACCACTGAAGACCACTGAAGACCACTTAAGACCACAGAAGACCACTTAAGACCACCGAAGACCACCGAAGACCACTGAAGACCACCGAAGACCACCGAAGACCACTGAAGACCACCGAAGACCACCGAAGACCACTGAAGACCACCGAAGACCACTGAAGACCGCCGAAGACCACCGAAGACCACTGAAGACCACTTAAGACCACAGAAGACCACCGAAGACCACAGAAGACCACTTAAGACCACCGAAGACCACTGAAGACCACTGAAGACCACCGAAGACCACCGAAGACCACTGAAGACCACCGA